AGAAAATAAATGATTTTTTATCGACTCTTTAGTGCTGCATTTTCCCGTTTTTACCATGATGAGGAAATGCGGTATTTAAAAATTCTGAAAAAATTCTGAAAAAATTTTAAAAAAATTTTGAAAAAATTCTCAGAATTTTATGAGAAGAAAATAAATGATTTTTGTCTCTTGCAGTTTTTGTGTAAAGTTGATAGTATTTGAGTAAAAAATTATTCGAGACCAATATTTTGCAATATTTAGTAATTAATATCTTAATTATTGCGAAAATTGCAAAATGGTAGAGGATTTTTCGACTCAGTTTAGTCCGCTCTACCTGCCCACGAGCGTTATCACATGAATTATAGGACACTGTATAATCCTAATTTTCACCGAGCACTTGATAAGCTAATTGTAACTGACGATAACCTTCTATTAAATTATCTAAATTTCAGCGATACGTGTAAACATATATATGATGTGAGTATTTAATTAATCATTTTGATGCATATTGGAGCAATTCAGTACATCATTCTTCAAATACAAACTGACATTAAGATAATTTAATAGAAAGTTACTAGTTAATACGCATACCAAGTGTTCGATGTAAATGGGGTTCAATGATACCGTGCTAATGTTTTGGAACGCTGGCAAACAAAGACGAGAGTCGCGACTCAATAATCGAGATTCGCGACTAAAGGCATTCTTTCCGATTTAGAGGAATCGTCCTGACAAAAGACGGACGATAAATAACGGACGATCATAAAATGGCTGCAAACTTGTCGTGTTCTATTGAGATGGTACTCCGAATAATCTCGCTGTTCCTACACTCATTTATAATCTGCAAGAAGCGTATGTATACTTTTCCGCCTGCAATAATTTAGTATGAAAACAGTTTTACGGCTTAGTTTTTATATCTTTCCCAATATTAATTCTCTAACCGGCACACGTGGATCGTTCGTGTCCATTTTCAACTGTTCTCATTTCTCGTAGACCTGCATAATTTTTATAACTTTTCCAAACTTTCTGTCTGACATCTATATAGCAAAATAATTTTGTACAGATCTTAAAGGAGATGTTTGAATTTAACAAAAATTTTTCGAACACTTGAAGAGCCTCGATCGAGTCGGATACACATAATCCATGTGTGCCGTTCTAAAGTGCTGAAAATTTGTGTGTCGTTGCAGGATTACGATAAGGACTAAGACCCGGTTGCACCAACGTTATTTTGTTTTTTTGCAAGACTTGAAATTCTCTCTGTCTCTGTCTCTCTTTCGCTTTAAAACGAGACAGAGAGAGTTTTAAGTCTTGCCTAAAGTTAAAGTTGTGTTGTAACCGGGCTTAGATTACATATAGTACGTTTATAAGCTCATTCTACAGTTGTGTAAGCGTAGTCATGCGTTTTTTTAACGCATGACAGACCCACAAAATGAAAAAAATTGTCCATCTTCTTCAACTTGTAGATTTCTAAATGTAAAAATTACCAAACCTACAGAAACTAAAAAAATGTAGTAACCTTTCGAAGGTAGAAATTTGGAGCTTTAAAATCCTTTTTTTAAATATAAATTTCAGTCATTTTTAACGAAGATATTGTATATATACAATTTTGAGTTAGAAAAGCCGCACGAACTTTCCGGATCAATCCTATAGAAATGGCTTTATGAAAAAATCCTTCTTTTTTAGTTTTCACCTCTATAGTTTTCCGACGCGGTAAAACTATGGAACAATTACCGGGGAAACGTGCCGGTACGAACGTATACGTATACGATGGATACATATATCATATGGATAAACGATGCAAAGGACTTTATCGGTGCTCGTCGCGACGAAGTTTAGAATGTTACGCTATATTATCACGAAATCTTGATGGGACGTATACTTTAAAATCACAACACAATCATCCGGCAAACGACACGGTATTGCAGGAGTTTCAAATGAAGCAAGAGATGCGGCAAATGTGTCGAGAAACAGTCATGAAACCAAAAGAAATATTTGATGCAGTATGCCGAGGGTGAGTCGACGTTTCAAATCATCGAGCTTAAAGTATATATTGTTGCACAAACAATATCAATATTTTGCAATATATTTTAATATCGAACAATTTAATATTGTTGCAACATTATTCTGTTACAATAATAACTTAATAAATAGAATATATAAGATAGATTGATATATCAACAATAAATATCCTAATAAGGTAAGAATATATGAATCGGACTCTCAATCTTCATGTA